TTAAGGGGGGGGGGGGGGGGGGGTTCACTTTACCCCGGGGGGAAAACTCCCGTAGCATACGGTGCTTCGAAGGGATATTTGTTTACCTCAACTGTTGAAACAAAAAAGGTGCCAACCAAGGGTAAACTCACGCTGAAAGGATTGGAGACACCAACGGTAACTAGGTTCTAGACTTAAACACAGTAAATTGTCAAAATTCTCAATCCATCTCCCAGCTTTCGGAGTCCCAACCCAACAAGCAGTTGAATGGAAGACATCATGCAGTAGCGACGTGCGCGTTAACGTGCTCAGGTCTGTTGCTGGGGCCGGCACATCGCAGGTTGCAGTTCAGTTACCCCTCAAATCTGGATACATACCAACATTTGTTCGTCATCACGCGTCTCAACCAGCTAAAATGTCCAAAGAGGTTATTTTTCAGTAAAAGCTATCGACCTGCAAGTCAGGAGACTGGATCTGTGGCGGCGACCGCTGCAGAGAAAGATAAAACGGTCGATGTCAAAATCGGCCAAAGATTGGTTCTCATCCGTCGACCTGGGCATCCTATTATGGGTGTTACACATCGCGCTGCGAACCACCCTGTGCTTCGGCAATTGAACAAAATAAACAGTACCTTCAACATCCCCGGAAGAAATAGCTCCCTCAACGGTGCGCACGGGCGGTTCATGGTAGCGACCAGCATCCAGAATGCGTTCTCCTCCGGCATATAGAGCAGAAACAAGGACGTTATGTAGTTTACGCCCTGGCAATATTGCACCTGGGGGTTGCATGCGTCAGATGACGAACGCCAAAAAGAGAAGAAAATAGAACACTATTTAGTCTATCCGAGCATCACATTTCTGCTACGCGGGGAGCACAACTGCGCCGATCAACGCAACCTGCGGGCTCACTGGCTCATCGCGATCAACGTTTCGTGCGCCTATCAAGCCGTTGCTGTTGTGTCCAACGGTGGTCAAAACCGTGTACGAACATTTGATTAATTAGTCATGCTTCGGCACAACTTTTTCGTGGTAGCGACCGTTGTCTCAAGCTTCGTTCTCGGGGACAGGAAGAAGGTTCGTCGTTGAAACGTCTATTTTCGAGTTCTGTGCCCAAACGTATATTGTTGTACCTTACGAATATGCCGGTATTTTCGTTCTCGAAAGCTCAGGCTATTAACACACCGAGCCCACTCAAATTACCTCTCGATCATAGCGCCCATATGCCGTCAAAACTCTCCGCAGCATATCTCTCCCGTTGACTCGCGACTTGCGGCAGAATAGCTCATGGTCGTACATCGTGCGGGGTATGTCTTCTTCGATGGGGCCTTCCACCGGGAGATCACTCGCCACCAGGTCTGCGTACTTGTTCGGCTCCCTTTCCATCATAGCCTTGCGTGGAAAGTAAACACAAGATAGACAAGTGGTCCGATGTGCTCACAATCACGGATTGTTCCGTGTTTTCAATGGCGATTTCGCATTGGAAAAATATCAACGTCACCACCGTTCGTTCACCGCAGGAGGTGGGACAGAATGAAAAAAAGTAGACACATGCCACAACAAATTAAAACGTTCCACGGCAAGGCCGACCTCCACAACATGTGCGTATGCACATCAATCCTCACCGTGGATCCCATCAGCATCTGCCAAACTTTAGCCCGAACGCAGTCTGGCACACCCTTGCGCACTCTGTTTCGGAATCGTGTGGCCTTCTTTCCCATCCTCCAACTGTCAAAATTGTCGATCATCGTTCGCCACTTTTGTGCTCGCCTGTCCTCCTTCGACCACCTTACCCTGAGAATCTGGGATAAAGCGACCGTGACGGACAGAACTGAGACGACATGCGGAACACTACCTTGTCATACCCTAGACGCGAACGACAACAAAGTATACCAGCTCCGTACAGTGCATGAGTACACCCGTAGAACACAGTTACTTAGGCGTCCAGTGGGACTCTTACATTGTTGGTTGGCGCTGTTTGGGGTTCTATCCGACCTTGCATAAGCGTTAAAACGTTCAGCTAGAAAAAGAACCAAGAAGTGTTCACTTTCCGACCGCGTCGTGCCATTGGGGTACTGGTGTGTCAAAACTTATCACAAAAAATCTGGCTGAAGGCCCTACTGATGAGCGAGGAAAAAAGCTCGGAACTTCAGTCTTGTGGGTGTAAGAAGGACGACACAACAGCAGACCACGCGCAAGAGTGAGACGTTCTCGTGCCACGCCGGCTTTCCCGGTGCCGGCTGGATGTATGGTTGGTACTCCCACGTGAATAGCACGACTGCAAATTGGAAGGATGAACGCATGTGTTGCGTGTACAAAAAGAGAACAGCGGGCCTCTTTCGTCTGCTTAGACGATTGGCAACTGAGCTGGCTGTATTCATTGTTCGGCGTCGCTGATGCCGCTGCCGGGATAGAGAGAAGAGGAAGTACACAGCCAGAGTACCCGTACGCACGCGCGAAGTACTGCACCCGTGTTGTCTACCATCTTGCCGTTGTTGTCATTCTACTCAACAAACAAGCAGGTAATAAATCAGGTTGGGTGTGCAGCACATTGTCATCGAAAAGCCGAACATAACAAGAGGCCGAAAACGCAAACTGACCGAACATCGATATTTGACAAGAGGCCGAAAACGCAAACTGACCAAACATCGATATTTGGTTCGATCTCGCTTGCTTGAAATACAACCTCAGACATCCAATAAAACCCCCAACGGACAGCAGATATAGGGTTCCTCTGCTTGGGCACAATGGCCGCAGGGTGTGAAGCATCATGGCCGAAACATCGGTGATGACTGACAATATACTAGTAAAGATGCGACGGAACATTTGTGATGTCATCGGAGGTACATCTCTTTAGCAGAAGCAGCAGCAGCAGCAGCACAACGTTTAAGCACAGGAAGGATGAGATTCATGTGCTATCATAGTGCCAAGGAAACAGGTTTCTTTGCTGGCAGTCACCGCCCGCACGGGCAGGTGTAGTACCATGTATGTCTTCCCCCTTCTGTGATGCAATTGACGTGGTGAGCAAGAACCGGTTCGCTTAATTTGGTTGGCTCGATCATTTTTCCATCTTAACGGCCCGCAACACGTAAATGAGTTTTCTTCTCTTTTCGGGCTACATGTGAGCATCTCTGAATGTGGATGCCAAAGCACGCACATCGGGTTCTGTGGGCAAATTACATGCACTGAATATCGACAAGGCAATGTGCTTGTACCTCAAGGCATTTAACCCAAACGTCCAAACTACCATACGCCATTTGACCGATTCGTACTGAAGTACGTCCCTACCATCAAAAACCCACTAGCGCAGGAGTGCTGCGGGATTGCTCACATGCAAACAACACGCGGCCGACCCTCACCTCCATTGGAACATCCAGCCTCCGCCGCTCACTCGTGACGAAAAACCCATAGCGGTCAGTTTTGACCTGTCCACGTGTTGGCCAAACGACGTACGGATTTTCTGGATTTGTCTGGAATGGCGACAAGCGTGGTAGAAACCGTCTCTTCCGGATACCAACACGGTGGCCTCCAGGGCAACGGAAGCATCTAGAAGGCACACAGACCATTCATAGAATAAACACAAACTCAATTGGGTTTTCGTCGCTTGGCAGCGATGTTGTAAAACAAGCCGATCACTTCGTGAACTCGGCAACCAGGTTGCCGGGGTTTTTTACCTCTGTTTATTTTTTGCGGTAACCATGAATGGTGGTCGAGTAGACTTCGTTGTGCGGGGCCGGTAAACCTCACTCCGCGCAAAGGGAATGATCGCACCACGTTGTGTTAAATTGGCCAAACACCCTCGAGGCAACTACACAGTGCTTGCAAGTGTCTCTGGAAGTGAAATCACCAGAAAAAAAACTAAGTCATTCGCAGCTGTCATCCGTACGCAAGGAAGTAAGCACAAGATGCCGAACACCCTTAGCAGGATGCAGCGCACCCTTCATGCGACTCGCCGAATACCTCACGGCGCTTCGCGCTTGGTGATGTGAGAGCCTGGTCCGGTGAGAACCCGGCGTCCTCCGTCCCGGCTTGGTAGGGATGCGAGGTGAATGGTCTAATGACTACGGCATGCACGGCTATGAGTACACCCCCCCCAGTCAAAAATTGGCCACAGACCTTTGTCATCATTTACTACCCCCCTCTCCCACAAATCTTTCTCCAATGTCTTGTTCCAATGAATTCCGGTGTATGCATCCTTTCCGTTCAGGAAGAATGACCCATGGTCTGCCATGCTGAACGAAAAAAAAGAAGAGGATCCGCAGCCCGAACGAAGGTACGCATCAACGTTGTCATTTGGCAAAAATAACGCCGGAAACAAAAAAGAAGCAAACCCCGGCAGAATGACACTGTATGAGGAAGCAACCAACTCACGCTGCTCTTTCTTTCTCAAAATACGGTCTTCCTGGGACGTTTCCACGCACCTACACGACGACATCACAGGCTCACTTAGGCCACGCGGTTGTGAATGTCGATCGCTGCGAACCACTCGGAGACATCTCTGCTCTAATCGCTACGATGATTCCCGGGTAGGCTGATACGGAGAGATGTAGCGTGATGCGCGCACCGCGTGAGTCTCCTAATCCTAGCGGTCCCTTTATCTTCCCATGAAAATATTTGTCGCTCGGGATAGAAGCTCACAAATGACCCGTGACACATCAATCGAAAGCAACTCCCACCGTAAGCCAATTGCCTTTGAACCGCGCAATACCCAGCATAAAAAAAAGAAGCATTATCTCCAAAACAAGTTGTCGTGATCGGCGCATGACAATGAATGATCGGCTGGGGAGTGGGGCTGGGCGAGTAGGTGGTGTGCATGGTGCGCGCGGCGTTTTTAATCTTTTACAAAATACCACTGATCATCGTGAAGTGATATGCCAACGAGCAACAAATGTATGTGCAAATGAACTGTTGAGTTTATGCACGTGTTTGTGCTCTGTCTCGGACACACACAAGGTTGACCGTATCTTGCAGTACCGCCTGAAGCCCTGTGGGGTATCTCATGGGCTGTTGTTGAAGATGATGCTTGAGCGGTCGTTCGGAGCAATGTAGCTACAATAGGCTAGGACGCGGGGCTGGCCTACGTACAAAACTGCAACTATCGCATCATGGCATCTGCGGGGAAACGTTTGTCCTGGTCGCCATGGCTTCGCGCAGGTTGGCGGCACAATCAATCTAGAGTTTCACAAAGTATATCCGACACACTTTGTACGGCCCGGGAATGTCTGCTGTATTGCAATTCCTTGGCGGTGAGGGGCTTGCTTGTCGGAGCTTCCACGCCTAGACTAATGATTTAGTTGTTGGCAAGAAAAAAAACAAACAAATCAACCAGAGAGCACAACTATTGGTCGGCTTGTCACGCGTTCCCTGTCGTCCACAAGCACTCACAACCGTTTTAGCAAGGTGCTTCCGTTGCCAGCCGCCGAGAAACGGAGCAAGAAATGGCGTTAAAGGTGTTCCTGTCCTCGAGAAAACCTAGTTCCAAATGGTCAGGAGCGTGAAGAATCTCGCCGGACCGAGCATGAAAAATGCAACGAGCTCGTTCAACCGAGACGAAGAAGCGGTGTGGGTGTCACACAGCAGTCAACCTACATCTGCACTAAGCACACGATTGACTGCGTACGACATAGATGCGGGGATGACTGTGCTCTTGACAAGCAGTATCATTGTCAGCGGAAGGCTTCAGAGTCTTAACCGCCGACCTGGACTACAGATTTCCCGAATGAAAAGAAAAATACGTTCAACCTTACAGTTGGCAAACTGTTGTATTCGTCGTTCGTTCAAGCACGACACACCGACATGACCAACCTCCGCGTGACCTCGGGCGCATTCTGTAATCGCGCACGGGAACGGGGCCAAGCACGGCCCTGTCGTGTTTGTCGTTTCCTCCTGGGTCTCTAGTTTTTGTCGTTTTCTCATGGTTTGCGTTATTCCCTTTTTAGCGCGGAACATGTTCCCCGGGATAAACCAGTTTTTTCAGCTTTTGGGCGTCAAGTACAAGCGATACGTGTGACTGGCGGTCCTAGAGTGTGCGCGGTACTGTACTGACGGGACTCCTTCGTGCCCCTGAGAAGGAAGCTTGGGAGAAGACTCTCTGCGGCGAGCGAGAGACATGGCGAAGCCCGAAAACCATCCAAATAATACACGTACATAGAGGCTTCCGGGACGTGGTCTCCTAGGAACACATGGGTCGGGACACCAGGCTCAGGTTGTTGGTCGTAAGTCGCATCAAAATCCCATACCAACGCGCTTACCGAAGAGTTGAAGCGTTCGTCCTCCGATGACTGCGAGTCCGCACCCCCTAGCGAACCTTCTCCATCCTCAGATGCACCCACCCCTGTGACACTACTCGTATCCTGCTCTTCCGCCATGGACTTCCCAGGCGCACCACAGACGCGGAATTGGGCATTGCATGAAGAAGTACCCGCGATGCAGCACGCGCTTTCATGGCATATTTTCGCTTCTGAGCTGCCGGTTCTTCCCAAATGCGGTGACTCTCTGCTTGTATCTTCGTGACGTACGGTTATCCCGCTCAAATCGCACTCTGACCGTGTAAATTCAGCTTTGAGAAACGGCGAACGTTGGTTGGTGATGGACACTCTGTCTACCACAGTTCCAGGTACCAGGGAACGTTGTGCAGATGCCCCTGTGGGAGCCTGAGGCGAGAATTTTCCGAGCCTTGTCGCCTCGCCTCCAATGGACGGTCCCGGCACGGTTTCAATCAACCGTTTTGGGGACCAAACTTCACCCCGCCTGGTGGTTGATTGGTGCACAATATCTCTCTTAGAGTCGGAGGCGTAACCGGGCATCGTGTTTGTGTCACACTCATCATGTGACTCTTTTACTCGGCAATGTCTTGGTTGCGGCGCTGATTTCCCCCTCGTTCGTGTCTCCGGAGGTGATAAGCTCCCTAGGACCACTATCGATTGCATCCCGTTGCGCATCACGTTATCGCTCCTCCACGGCGGGCCGTCGTCGTTGGTACTGCACGACTCCCATTTCACAAACTTGGCGACGATGCCCTGTTCAACCTTCCACCTCCGCACGTTGCGTCGTTTTTGCATAGTTTCGTCGTCGCTTGTGCATGCACCCGACGGACTCAGTGACGTAAGCCCAGGATCCCTTGCTTGATGCAACATGCCAGAGATCGAGGCCTTGGGAAAGAACCGGCAGGGAGGCGGTGGATCTGCGTTCCTTATGACAAAAACACCATTTGACTCCAGCCTGAGCCCTCTTGTGCTGCATGGAATATTCGACACTGCAAGGCCCACTACTTTATCATAGCCGTCCGATTACGGTCGGTCTTTCCCGTGCTATTCAAGAAACCGCCGACAACAAGATTGGGATAACAGGGCATTCTCTCATACCAAACAATCGCCGAAATCTCGTCATTGCTTCGTCCTCAAGAAACTTCATCTTCTCACTTTACTGTACACTTTAGCACTCTCGTGACACTCACTAGTATATCACATCCACCGTCAGTGCAAGCGTCCCGCGGCTCACATTGCTTCGCCTTCCCCATGCCAACGGAAACCGGTGGGACCCTGCGAAATCACGCAAGGTATAGGTGGCATTTGGCAACAGACTACACATGTACCGTGCACTGTCCTATAAACACCACCTAGTGAAAAAAGCGCGCCCGCACGCACTTATGTACAGCTGCGTGGGTACTCGTTTGTCGAAACCGCCGCGGAAACAACACAGACACATATGACATCCATGCCTCCGTTGGATATGCATGGTAGGACGGAAAAGCCCCGAACATAGAGCCTCAAGTGTCCAGAAGCTACTGATACATGAAACCCGTCTTGGTGCTAGGGCATTTCTTTCTCTCGCGGCAGCGAGTATTTTCTCGCGCTTGGTTTTGAGGGGCGCGCAGGAGGCGCATCGGTACATTAACACGCATGACCGGAGCTCGGCAGGCATGCGTGGAGCGTGTGCTCCAAGCTCAAATTCACGAAAATGGCCCCTTTGCATGCGGACGCGTGACGCGACGACCAAGCCTGGCCGGCAGGCATGCGTGGAGCGTGTGCTCCAAGCTCAAATTCACGAAAACGGCCCCTTTGCATGCGGACGCGTGACGCGACGACCAAGCCTGGCCGGCAGGCATGCGTGGAGCGTGTGCTCCAAGCTCAAATTCACGAAAACGGCCCCTTTGCATGCGGACGCGTGACGCGACGACCAAGCCTGGCGAACGAATACCAGAACCCGTGAAATACGAGATAAGGAAAAATGGCCGGGACACTCGTTTCAAACATGTCTCCCGCTGCCTACCATCAACAGCTGATCACAAAGTCCTATGCCCCTCACGATACTACTACTCATCCTCCATCTTCAAACCTTGCGCCGTCGCCTCTGCTTTTGGTGA